TGTGGAACTTTTTATGTTCCTTACTGTTGGGTAATTTGTGCTAGAAAGTCCCTTTCTAGTTTTGTTCAAAACTCACAACTGTACCTCTCCTCAAGAGTTCTTCCTCTTTGGCTTTGATGATGGGCTTTTTTTCACATAAATGCAGACAGAAAACTAGCTTCTTTTGCATTTGAACACCCCCAGAAGTTTATTTGGGTTCTTTTTTTAGGTGGTTTTTTTTTTTTGCAGGAGGGGAGGAGGAATTTTTGGGCGGTGATTTTGTGGGTTTTTTTCACAGTAAGAGAAAAACTTGAACACTTCAAGGAAGCATTCCTGCTTTTAGATGTCTTTTACAGCCCTTCTCCCTTAGCAGATCCCACCCTGTCCGTGAGCTTTCCTTATTGCCACATTGTGGTGTGCAACCTGGCTCTCATCCTGCTTAATCAAAATGTCGCTGGACTGGCTATTTCCAGCTGCCCATGTGTTAGGCAGCAGCATGCCAGGCTGTTGTCACCTATAGCTGATACCAGCAGACTTGGCCTTCAAAAAAGAGAAGTTGAGAAGAGCTGCAAAAAGCACTGACAGCAGATAGCTCACCAGTATGTGACTGTGTGGTAAAGAGCAGATGTCAGGGCAGGTGGAACAGGGAAGCTGCCTTCCCTGTGACCCTACTTGACTGGAGAAGCAGTTTTATTCATTTAAGGCAAAATAAGCTGTGTTAGCTCAGTGTATGTCAATGCCACATGCTAAAGATGCCTCTAAGAGGTACTAGGCAGTCCAGGTGAGTGATCCAGGTTAGTGCTTGGAAGAGAGCCTGGGAAGCAGGGAGAGGGGCTGCCTGTGGGAGAAGGGCTGGCTGTGGTGGGGTATCTGGCCCTGGAAGCTCTTTCCATGTAACAGCAGGAAAGCACAGTGAAGTCAATGTGAATATGAAACCACTCATTTCTGTTTACTTCTGCAGTCCTATAGCAGTGTCTTTGGAAGCAGCAAGGCTTGTAAATCACACCCTGATGTGACTGTGGAACAGCTAAATTATTGGGGTGGTATTGCTGCCCCTCAAAATGGGAAGTTCATTATAAGTCCTGCAGCTTCTCTGGCCTGTGTTAATCTTTGGTGGGAAAGGCTGTTCAATGAATCCAGTAATTATGGGGTTTTTTGGGAAAAACCCTGCTCCTAATTAAAAATTTCAGTAGAGTAATCACTCTTCCTGCTGAAATCCAAAGTAAGAGGATCATCTACAAGTATTTTCTTTTAAGAGAATACTTTCTTTTCTTTTAAAGTAGAAGGAGAGGAAATTTCTGAGGAAACAGTACATTTGTCCATGAATTCCAAGCTGAGGCTTGCTGTTTGGCAGCACCACAGCTGTCCATTAAATATAATGTTCTCCAGAAGTTGTTAACCAGAAGTTTTCTTATGTAGGTGTTTCTCCGGGAGTCCTTGGAACATAAGTTGGAGAAACAGCGAGAAGTGGAAGTCACCAAGGCAGCAATGATTATCCGAGCACACATCTTAGGTTATGCAGCCCGGTAAGTGACTAGACAAGAATATTAATTATCAGGATTTGAAATAAGTGGATGGGGTGTCAAGGAGTTAAATCCTTCTGACACAATTCTTAGCTTTTTCTGAGGACCAGGCATTCAAAAACGATAAGTGGCTTTTGAAAATACCAGCTGAAAATACCCATGAATAAAACAAAGTTTGAATTGTTTTAATATAATTAATATAATTAATAGAAATTTGGAGGTCAGCCAGTATCCATTGGATTGTATCATGACTTTAGATCCATGGTATTAGATCCATGGTAGGAACTCCAGCTGGATGGCACCTAGTGGGGCTGCCCCAAATTACCAGCTGAGATCATGATTTATCTTTGCTTCATCATGGTGAGAAAAGGCAAATAAAGCTAATCTGTTTGGTTCTTAGAGAACCATGACATTAGGTTACTGATTAATGTTTCATTTGTCTACCTGGCTTCATGCATTATGTGTTAGGTGGAGTTGCTCATCCCATCTGTTTATTTCTCTGGTTTTTTTACAAGTCAGTTGAGGACAGTTTAAGGAAGCTTGTGTGCATAATGAGGTAATTTCTTTTCATGTGTATATTAGCCCTGTTCTTATATTCTGACCAGTATGTTACTTAAAAACTATATCCTTTTTTTAATGACAGAGTTATCCTGCTGTCGATGGCCTTTCTTTTCAGAGATGTGAGATGACTATCTATGTATATTCTTTCTCTTCATTTGTGCACACACACAGAGCTGTCCTTTTAGCATCTCCTTCTCAGGGGGATAAGAACATGTAAGACAAGTAATGTGCATTTCCTTAAATGAAGACACAGACAGTGCTGTCAAAGCAATGAGAGAGTGTCTTTCTTCTCAAAGGGAGAAGAATGTGAACAACAGTGGGAAACCATCACAGAGCCAGAGTTACCACTGAGAGGAGACCTCATTGCAGTCCACAACTTCCTCATGAGGGGAAGAGGAAAGGCAGGCACTGATCTCTTCTCTGTTGTGACCAGTGACAGGACCTGAGGGAATAGCCTGAAGTTGTGTCAGAGGAGGTTTAGTATGGATATAAGAAAAAGCTTCTTCATCTGGAGGGTGGTTGGGCACTGGAACAGGCTCCCTAGGGAAGTGGTCACAGCACCAAGCCTGACAGAGTTCAAGAAGCGTTTAGACAGTGTTCTCAGGCATATGGTGTGATTCTTGGGGATGGTCCTGTGCAGGGTTAAGAGTTGGACTCGATGATCCTTGTGGGTCCCTTCCAACTCAGCGTATTCTGTGATTCTGTGATTGCAGGTCACCATGGCAAGAACCCTCACAACTGCTCCTTAGTTTGTTGTTTCATTAGAATTTTGCTTCTTTATTTTTTCCCCCCAGAAAGCGGTATAGAAAGGTTCTCTACTATGTGGTTGTGATACAGAAGAACTACAGAGCCTTCAGTGGTAGGAAAAAGTTCCTGTGCCTAAAGAAAGCAGCCATAGTTCTTCAGAAGCAGCGGCGAGGCCAGCTGGCTCGACGTCTTTATAGGGAGCGACTAGAGGAGAAGCGGAGACAAGAGGAGGAAAGAAGGAAAAGGGACGAAGAAAGGTGCAGTATGCTCTCTTACATCACTCTCCTGTCTGTGCCATATTAGGTGTTGGTCTAAATAAATATATAATAATAATGGCCAGTCTTCACGAGTGAAGATCCGGGGAAGGTCTTTACACCTTCCAGCCTGCGCATTGGATTTTTTAGGTGAGACACAGTGTGCGCGGAACTGAGCCCACCCTTTAATCCTAAGGTTCATCTGCCGGGGCCAAGCGAGCTTGGACGGTGGCAGCGAGGTCCTTAGGACGTAGGTGGGTTGCCTTTAAGGGCTAACGAGCTCCACCTGCCCGGGAGTGGCCCTGACTGGGAATCGAACCCGGGTCTCGGCGGTGATAGCGCCGCGCCCTTACCACTAGACCACCAGGGGCTCCTGGTCTAAATAGCCTTTTATTTTAGGCTGTTCCAAATCAAGGGATTTTGGAAACCTTTGCTTCTTTTGCTAAAAGATGCATGTAGCTATCTTAGTAGTTTCATATTCACAAACATATTTGTGGTGACCTTATTTTTGGCTGTCTTTCCCATGTGGCAGATGATCTCTGTAAGTTGAGCTATTGCTCTAAAAAAGGAATGTGATGAGCTTATGTTGAGCTTGATTGACTAACTACTCTTCCTTCACTTCTAGGGAAAGACAAAGACAAGAAGCAGAACGTCTTGCCCAGCAGGTAAATGATATTCCTGATGCTTTCAGCTATCCTGTTTGTTTGAGTATCTCAACCCAGCAATTAAAAAAATAAAAGGCATCTCTAGCATTTAAACTAAACTTATTACAGGAGTTGGTAGATAAAGCCAAAGGAAACTCAGTACAGCTGTTTGCATGGAAATTTCCTTCACCCATGCTTTCATTTAATTTCTGGAAAAGATTGAATTTTCTGCACATTCTTGAGCTTCCAGTATCTCTGAACAAATGGAATCATGCTTGAATTTTTCTTTTGCTGATATTTTAAATGAATGACATGGTGCAGTATAGTGCTTTAGAAATAAATTTTAAGAACAAATCTTGCATTTAGAGGCTTTATTTGATTTTGTTTTGTTTTGTTTTATTTTATATGCAGGCTGAAGAAGAGAGAAAAAAGCAGGAACTGGCTGCCATTCAGAAAGCCCAGAAGGAGGCAGAGCTGAAGCAAGAGGTGGAGAAGCAGAAGGAAAGCAGGCAGGTGGAAGAAATCCTGCGCCTGGAAAAAGAAATCGAAGACCTGCAGCGTGTAAAGAAGCAGCAGGAGCTGTCCTTGACAGAGGCTTCATTACAGAGGCTGCAGCAGCTTCGAGATGAGGAGCTCCGGCGGCTTGAGGATGAAGCATGTCGAGCAGCCCAGGAGTTCCTGGAATCTCTGAACTTTGATGAGATTGACGAATGTGTCCGAAATATTGAGAGGTCTCTCTCTGTGGGCAGTGGGTACCCTGCGGAGCTAACTGAACAGACTGGAAATGCCTGTAGTGAAAAGCCCAATTTTAACTTCAGCCAGCCATATCCTGAGGAGGAGGTAGATGAGGGCTTTGAAGCTGATGATGATGCATTTAAGGATTCGCCCAACCCAAGTGAGCATGGCCATTCCGATCAAAGGACCAGTGGCATCAGAACAAGCGATGATTCCTCAGAAGAAGATCCCTATATGAATGATACTGTGGTGCCAACAATTCCTGCTGTTGGTGACACCATGCTTATACCTCCTGCCCACGACACAGTCAGTCTCCACAACTCTTCGAGCGGTGAATCCACGTACTGCATGCCAGAAAATGTGTCGTGTAGACCCCCAAATTCTGTGGAACTTATTTCTCCCGACGGGGACTACGATTACGACCAAGATGATTATGAAGATGGTGCTATTACTTCTGGTAGCAGTGTGACCTTCTCTAACTCGCACAGTAGCCAGTGGTCACCGGACTACCGGTGCTCAGTGGGGACGTACAATAGCTCTGGAGCATACCGATTTAGCTCTGAGGGAGCTCAGTCTTCCGTAAGTATCACTGGTTTTATTATCTAATAAATGATATGTGCTTTCTGATTTTTTTTTCCCTTGCTGTGCCCCTGTAGAGTCACTGTAGCTGTTCTGAGAAAAGTCTGCATTGTGTAGCTTGATTTGCTTAGAGTACATATGGAAATAGTTGTCTGTTGCCATCTAGATGCCACTGGGGTGAGTGCATTAGAGTCAGAGGTAGCTCAGATGCTACTTGCAGTTCTGGGCTTCTGCACAAATATGGTTTTAACTGTTATAATGCAGAACTGCACGATGCTTAGAGGAGTTCGGTGCATGGCCTTGGATGCCATTTATAAGCAAAGTTCTTCTCTGTGCATGTGTTTGGAGTTGGGGTACCAGGTAGCATTTGGGGAAGTGATTTCAGGAAAAACAGATTCAGTTGCATGCAAGTTGCAACAGTACTGAAAAAAAGCTGCTTGAAGAAGTCCCTGAAATGACAGGCATATTTTGAGATTACTTGGAGAGTAAAGTTCACACGATGGCAGATGTTAAAGTGATTGAAGCAGACAGTCATACTGAGGAGCTCTTTTTCAGTGTTGTTTACTGAGTATACCGTGGGCTTTACTCCTACAAATATTTTTGAAAGAATATGATTTCCTCTACCACTCACCGAGTAATTCTGTGAGACTGTCTCACCAAGTGAAAAGGTATTTCAGCAACACTGACTTGTTTAGAAGGAAAATTTTAACACTAGAATAGCTAGTACAGTTGAAGCAGTGAAAACCAGTCAAAGAGCCATCCTGGATGTATTTGTTGTGTAATCACACAGTTTAGGCTGCAACTTACTACAATGTACTCCCTCTTTTGTTAGATGGATGAAAAACAATGAGGAATTATGTTCTTGCAATAGATAATAAAATGTTTTAGCTAGAGACTTCTAAACCAATCTTATCTAAACACTTTCCTGAGAGATTTTGATCTTTATTTCCTTTCTTCTGTAGTTTGAAGACAGTGAAGAAGATTTTGACTCCAGGTTTGATACAGATGATGAACTTTCCTACCGGAGGGATTCAGTTTACAGCTGTGTCAGCCTGCCCTACTTTCACAGCTTTCTGTACATGAAAGGTACTGGGTGAATCAGAATTTGCTAAATATACAAAATAACCAGAAATATTTATTGTATTTTACACTCCCATTCCTGTAGAGTTAAGCCATTTTCTTATTTTTCAAAGGATGATGGAAAAGTGACTATTTACTTTGAGCTGTTCTCAAATTAAGTTACTTGCAGTGGCTTACCCCCATGCGTGGGTTTAAATCACTAAATCAGTGGTTTAAAACCACTAAATCAGTATTTTTCCCCTGTGCAAAGAAAGTTCAATATTTTGGGCTGCCTCTATTTCATTTTATCTTTGCTGACTCACAAACAATGAAATATTCAGCATAAATATAGTAAAATAACTCACAAAGTCAAATTGTACCAACTGACCTCAAATTTTGAGGAAATCAGATTCTTGCTTCCAAAACCTTGTAACATAGACAGCATTCTACACTGCAGATCAGTTTTATTGACCTTAGACAAATATCACTTTGGATCTGGAACACACAAAAAAGGTTATGTGCAGCAAAAGGGTGTGAGAGACTTTTAAAGAACATACACAGCAGTTCTCTGGTTAAAACTGTTAGGTATATCTTCCGATGATTGATTAGCAAATTATAATTTCGGTGAATCCTTGTATGATATCCATCACTGTAGCGTAGCTTATTTTGCTGGAACAGGAACAGTGATGAATGTATGCACTGCTATGTTTGTGTGAAAAATAATGCAGCAGTCAGTAACAGGGCTTTTACTGACATGGCAAGCAAGAAGTTTTTGTGGGATCACAGGACTATATTGTCTTGGTTAAGGTTTTTAATGACTGTTTAACTACAGTGCAAGGTACATTGTCTACTGTATAGCCACACTTTGGTATGACAGAGTTCCCACTGGTGTATTTCCTACTCTAAATATAGCTTTGTCAGGTTTTGTGGGTTTAAGTTAACCATTGTTACCTTCCAACAACCTGGAGAGAGGAAGGAGTTTAACACCAGTCTTTTCTTAGATTGAAATACATTGAAAACAGTGTTAAAGATTAGATTTTCATGTGCAGTAAGACTTTTCAGTGATTTATTATTCATATATTGTGTATGTGTAATTATATATATGTTACATATATTTTTGTAATATAGAGACTTATTATAATTTATAATTTAAAGGGTTTTAGATTGACAACAATATTGGTGATCGTAAGGATATGCAAAAATGAGGGTTGTGGCTTACAGCAGAGACTCAGTTTAACTGCAGTTGTTGGTCAAAATCGTCCAGTTTTGGTGTGATCACAGCTTCTGTTTTATAATACAATTGTTTGTTTTAACTGTGTATAAACCCACATTTGTCTCTCTTGCCAGGTGGCTTAATAAACACATGGAAGCGACGCTGGTGTGTCCTGAAAGATGAGACCTTCCTGTGGTTTCGTTCCAAGCAGGAAGCACTTAAGCAGGGTTGGCTTCACAAAAAGGGGGGTGGATCATCTACACTTTCCAGAAGGAACTGGAAGAAACGATGGTTTGTTCTCAGACAGTCCAGGTTGATGTACTTTGAAAATGACAGTGAAGAAAAGCTAAAAGGTGCCATGGATGTCCGAACTGCCAAGTAGGTTTATATGGTTTTATATGTTAGCCATGGTTCCTCCTAAGTACTTCTTGGAGCTTAATCTGAGAAGACATTGAGTGCCCTGCCTACAAATTGTGTGAATGTGAGCATGAGACTGTGTATGATGAAGTTATTGAAAGCAAGTGTTGTCCTTAGCTGGCTCTCTTTTAAGTCTACAGAGTGCTCCAGAGCTAAGCCAGTGCCAAATACTTCAGAAAACTGCTGGTATAATGAACCCATCTATGCTTTCTCCCAGACTAGAGGCCCTACTTAGTCTGTAATGATTCCCAAGACAATCTGGGGCATGTTGCCAAGTCTGTAGCTGCAGGCAAACCTAGAATGGGGAGGGTGGAATTAATAGGCCCTGAATATACTGAAGTTTGCCTGGGTCAAAGCTGAATCTTCTGTATGTATTGAGATTTTTTTCATGTTTGAAATAATTGTGGTAATGTGGAAAAGTCTTTAAAATGCATATATTAAAAAAACAGAATTACTAAATCTAATAACTTATGTCTTGCTAACTAAAGTTCCTTATGCCTTAAAATTCTATGCTTCCTGAAGCATGCATAAAAAAAAGTTTTCTAAGGGATGGTATTTTTCCTTCTAAATTATCTAGCTAATTTAAAAATTAAAGTGTGCTAACATTGGTAGTCTCATTCTGTATAAAGTGCACCTAAGCTTTCGTCCAGAGTAGAGAAAAAGAGAAGTGGTTTGTAACGCTCAGTTCCACTTTGTGCCTTGTAATCTGCAACTATCCAGTTTATTTTGTTACTTTAACAGAGAACTTAAACTAAATTGAAATCTTAGATTAATCTTTTCTTTGGAAGTCCTGGCCTGAGCCTGATTTCAAGCAGGACAGTAAATAGTTTCAGTGGGCATCCTGACTTGCCCTTGTAAAACCAATGAGCTGTTCACTGTCAAGTAAATCTCTGAACAGAAACTGAAGTTCCTACTGCATTTTTTTTGATTGAAACTGAATTTGACTCTGCCTCATGTGCAATAGCATTTATTTAGCATATTTTTCTAATACCTTCAATCCTTCTTTTTTTTGTTGTTGCCACATTGCTTCATTGACTGTGCCCTATAGAAGTTCTTTGCTGAACATACCTTTAAAATTGTCAGGTAAAGGTTGTTGAACCTAACTTGAACTGTAGGTTCAATCTATGAGTATTTGTGTATAAAATAGCTAAAAGAAAGAGTACTTGTATTTCAAGAACTGTATTTCATAAGATATAAACAATAGCTTTTCTAGGTAATTTTAGTATTTACTGAGTGCATTTCTAACCTATCATGAGACTTACATATTTCACCACTCCATATTAGGGACCCTGTTTGATTTAAAAAATCTTAGGCTGATTCACTTAAAACACGGGACAGAGAAGTGTTCTATTGGACATTGTTATTGGGAGGGAAGGAAACCAAATTAAAGAAAACAGTAGAGAATTACAGCTTTTTGTTTTGATAGCAGATAAATTGTCCTCAGGAGCCCAATAAGCAGAACTTGCATATATTTCTTATAGGATAGAGATTTATGAAAATAGTACAACTGATAAGAAAATATAGCTAGTTAAGGAAATAATAAGCTTCAGACAAATACAGCAAAAAGGAAATTTAAGTTGCTTTCTTAACCTTCAGGAAAATCTAATGTAATACTTTAAAAAATCTTGTGCTTTGGGGTTCAAAATTGTCCAATATATTGATACTTAGATATCCAAACTAAAAATTAAAAAGGTGTCATTTTTCAGCAGATGAGTGCTCAGCTTTTTCTGGAAGTCATGTTTGGAATTGTCTTTATGCTGACTCACAACCACACAGAATCACTAATCCAGGTTTTGTTTGCTTTTAGTTTTTAATCTTCAAGAGCTTTCTTTTTAGCACTCCAAAAACCACTTGGTTATGCAGTCAGTTCAGAAATATATCCATTTCTCAACTCAGTCGTCCCTGCCTCTGTTGAGGTTTGATAATGCTTTACTTTTTCATTAGTTCTTGTTAAAATGGTAACAGAATAGTCAACTTGGTATAGCAACATTCCTAATAGTTTGAATATTTGTACTGTATAGGCAGAAAACACAACTGTAGTTTGGTGAATTAGTACTATCTGATAAATCACTTTGTGAGTCTTGCAAACAAGCCTGATGAAGGCTGACTGCTGCTGTTTTAAACATCAGTAGTTTGTGAGCCTCTCAGCAGAACAGAATTTTCAGAATGTTCATTATCTGTAATGCTCAATCTTGGTGTTTTCATTTTTGCAGAGAGATTGTTGATAATACAGGCAAAGAAAATGGTATTGATCTAATAATGGATGATAGGACCTACCACTTAATTGCTGAATCTCCTGAGGATGCAAGGTATGAAAATCACTAGGCCTATCTTTTTTTTTCCCCCATTTTAATCTCTATGCCATTCTGACTTGTGCTTGTCATTAATTTGTTTGACCGGTGTCACAAAATATTCCAGCAGTGTTAAACACATTGCATTTAACCCATTTTTTCAAAGTTCTGCTGAGATCTTGTGGCAGACCATTACTGGGAGGAGTCAGATTGCCAGTGAAAATTTGCCTAGAATTTGGCTGTTACTCATCTATTCCCAGCAACTTTCTAAAATACTGTGTGTCTGTAGAGAGGCAGGTGTTAGCCCCTGATGCTTCTCTTGTGCATTACCTTGCTGTGTTTAGCTGCATAGATCAAATAAATATTTAAGATCCTCTAATCTGCCTGAAATAAAGCACCTTATTCTTATGCTTGGGATCTCTTTGCCCAAGCAAAGCCTATAATTTTTTCAGGTAGAAGTTGTAATGCAGTCACTGGATTTTGGGGCAAAACCATGTTTGTCAATAAGAAGAGTGTGTAAGAGAGTGTTCCCTTTCTTCTGATTTATAAAGGGTCTTGCTTTTGTTGTAAAGGATCCTTATCTAACCATAGGGGGAGGCTGCTAGGTGAGGAGCAAGCCTGACTTGTCAGATCAGTTGTAAAGCATATTTAAAAAAAAAAAATCCCCATGCTACAGTTCATGGGAGATAATAATATGCTTACCCATAAAAATCAAGCATTTAAATAAAGTCAACTTAGTAATCAAAGCTTATTACCCACTGCCTTGCTGCCCCAAGGGCAGAATACAGAATGCCTTTGTCAACATCACCTGAGCTACTTTGCTCTGAAGGCTCAAAAGTGGCTTTGTATTCTGTTCTGTTTAAAGGTAGAACACCTTCATCTATCACAGGACCCTGAGGATAGATGTAGCAATGCTTACAATGCAGAATCTTTCTTCATTTTTTAAGGCATCTTTAAAATTACTCTTGAAGTAACTTAGGAGCTTTCTAGCAGTTACTGTTAAGATTCTTGTGTGATGTAAGGCTCAAAATGGAGGCTTAACTAAAGTCTCTTCTACCAGACTTGTGTAGTTGCCCTAGGGACCCCAGTAAGAAATTACCAGCACACACACACAGACTTGTCTGTTGCCATGCATCTCTTTCAATTCCTTCTCAAACATGGAGGAGGAGACACTATACACTATCAATGTGTATAGTGTACATACCACATAACATACCATCCAGATTAAATTGGCTTTCACAAGCGTATTTCATGTTTCTTTTTTCTCAGTCATCCCAGAAGACTTAATGAGGGAGATGTGTAGGATTTGCAGACAGCCTTAAGCCAGTGTTAGTGTTTGGCTTTGTTAAAAGTGAAGTATGAATCATTGGACTGTGTTGAGTCTGGATCTGCTATTGGAAAAATCTTTTGTACATGGGCTGAATCATGATTTGAGGTTGTTTTTTGTTTAAATGAAGGCAACAACCAAGAGAAACATGGCACAGACCCCCAAAAGAGGAATTACTATTTTTGATTATGGAAGTGTATTTGAGGAAAGAAGTAATGCCATTGCTGAGGGTTTATTCCTTTAAAACCCTAGCCTGTCTTTTTCCCTATTCTTGTCTTCTGGGACTCAGTTGAAAGACAGAGGAGGTCCCGTGAGGGAAGAAAGGAAAACTAGGCCTTTGTCTTTTGCAAAGTGCTGTGATTTTTCTTTTTCATTTACACAAAGATTTCATTTACACAAAGATTACATGAAATCAGGAAAACTCTGACTTTTTCTTTAAAATCCATTAATAAATTATTACTGAATGTGCATATAGGGCTATGAAGTATTTTTTGGCATTTAAACAGAAGATTCACATTTAAATACATTTGCAATTCCTGAGCCCAAAAAAGAAAACTGAATTTAATTTATGGGAATTTTTTGGTAGATGAGGTTTAGTTTTCTTCAGTTTCTTTAGTTTATTCAGCTGATGATTCCTTCTCTCTAGATGATAACTTCCCTTCTTTCTACGGGTTTTCAGTGACATTATCTTACATTCCAGCAAAGTAAGTGTTAAGCACAACCTCTCTGTGGATATCTCTGAGTCTTAAAAAAAGAATCAGAACTAAATATGTGCTCATCTGCTTCGTGGTCTGGCACTCTAAATCTTTGTTTTTCTTCATGCCTTGCACTGTTTCTAATAAAAGTGTAAGCTGATAGAAAGGATTTAGGATATGGCAGTGATGATACCGTTTGACAGCCTACACAGTTTTTCTGAAGCTATTTTGGCAGTTCAGTTTCCAGAAATCTACATTATGGGGAACAGTTGGCATTTGAATGCTGAAGATAAGGAAGCTCTTTAGTGTCCTCAGTATCAATTCCATGACTATAAGCAATTGCAGAAAAGATAACTTTGTATTCAAGTTCAGTAGTTTTGCATTTGTTTCCTCAACCCCATGGTGGTGGAGGAGCCTCTGCAGTAAAGTGAGGAGTCTGTTTTAAAGGCTGGGCTTTTGATCCCTTTGAAAACTTGGCCCCAGGTGGTTTTCATTAGAATGGCAAATTCATATCTCAAAGAATGGCATTCAGGAACCTGCTGAACAGGCCAAGCTCTGCCCTCAGATTTCAGTGGGATTGCTTAGAGCAGTTGAGCTTTATCATATACAACTGCCAGGAGGACAGAGATTTCCCAGAAGCAGAAGGTGTGGTTGGAATTAAATCCATTTGCAATTGCTATGGGCTGAAGTACTGGAAACCTCTGCCAGTTTTCCTGTTCAGGATATATATATATATATGTATATTCCAGTGCCACTGGAATGGCACAGATTTGCTCTGGTCCAACTTCACTGGCCTTTCCAGCAGCTGGATTTTTCAGTGCTCCATAGAGAACAAAAACCATAGAGGTATTTGCTTGGGGTTTTTATTCTGTTTTCCCTCTTAGTTGTGCTTCTACAGAGAACTTGGATTGTCTTTGAAAAAGTATCCCTGTAAGAAATTATTACCAGTCACGCTATCAGTGCAGCAGAATTTATTACCTGAATGTTAAGTTTCCCATTAAAGGCTTTGTGTGCAGCTAGTAATGTATTTTATTCCAGATGAAATGTGTGGAATGTGTTACAAAGACTCTCTAGGCACTCAGATGTTTCAGTGTGTTTACACCAGTTTTTCAGAGATGCCACTTACTGTACAAGGTACTTGTCTTCAGGAAGCAGGGTATGACACGAGCTTGGATGGGAGACCTGGAGGGGCTTGCTTGCACTCAGTATTACTTGAACTCACATAAAGCCTTGCTGCTTTTATGCCTGTTGACAAAAGAAATCTTAAGCAATTTCAAAAACCTGCAGAACCTGCTAGATCTCTGCAGAACAAAGGTGACAGAAGGCTTATGCAGAAGCAAAATTCTACTCTTACACTGCTGCCTTTCTCTCCCCAGCCAGTGGTTTAGTGTACTAAGTCAAGTCCATGCATCCACAGAGCAAGAGATCCGGGAGATGCACGATGAGCAGGCAAATCCACAGAATGCTGTGGTAAGTCTGAATCTGAAGAACTTTACAAAGCAATTATTTTTAGAAAAGAGGGATACTGTGGTGGCCGCACCTTCTGAGAGGCACAACCTAGGTTTCCTTAAGTGTGGCAATAGCTGTGGCACTGGCTAGAGCCTCCATGTCCTTGGTCCTGTAACTGTACAGGAAGAGAGTGTGACTTCTGAGTCCTCTTCCATCATTCACCTTGATGAAAAATGACTGTTGGTTTTGGGGTGGTTTTTTCTGGTCCACTTTGAAGTTTTGCAAAGATACAGTTAATGAGTAAATTAAAAACCAAGAGTTGAAAATCTGAGATTTCTCTGGTCCCGCATTTGTCATTCTGTGTAACATACACTGGTGATAAATGGAATACATTTGGAACCTAATTTCAAGCCAAGGGAAGCAAAAACTTTTGCTTAATGTCTTCATAAGTTTGTTCTGAGAGGATGCCATTTATATTGGGATGGCATTTTTCAGTGAAAAATTCAGGCAGGTTTGGAAACATAGAAAATAGCAGTTTTTCAGCTGCTCCAGCTTAACTACAGATAATCTTTTACTGGATCTGTTCATCTGAGTGTCTTAGTTTTCCCTTCAACAGTTTTAATGGTTAAGAGAAACTGATGCCCAAACCTGCAGTTCAGTTTGCTTGATCAAAGTTGCTGCTCCTTTCACATGTCTCTCAGAAGAGTACTGTGACTAATGTAATAGTAAATGTCTTCCTTATTTTCTGGTTGGATGTTTGTTTATAGGGTACACTCGATGTAGGACTAATTGATTCTGTCTGTGCTGCTGATAACCCGGATAGGTAAGTCAGAACCATGCCTGGTGACTTTCTTTCTCTCCTTTTTCTAGCCAAAATCAGACACTTTATCATTTAGTCTCTGTATTGTACTGGCCACATGTGTTAAAGTGGTTCATTATTTCCTCCCTCTTCATAGTACTGTTAAAACATGTTAAAACATGTCCATGCACTAGGAATGATGGTAAACTCTGTGGGGGCTTTAATAACTTCCCTGACACTGCTTCATATATGAACTCTTGAGCTCCTAAGGTGATCCAAAAGTAGAAGATTAAATACGTGTCTCATTTATACAAGTAATGCTCCTGAAAAAAAGGGCATCTGGGTTTTGAGTCGCTTAACCATATAGTAGGCAGAAAAATTAATTTTAATTTTTTTTTTCTGTTCAGCTACTCATGCATGAATGTTGTATTCTTCAGGGATAAAATTGTTTCCAAGAATAAAAATGTCTTGTAACAAAGAAGACAGTGCAGCATAAAACCAGCAAAAACATCAGGATATTCTTAGTTCTTGAACTACTAACGCTGTTTTAGGGGATAAAAAGTAATCTGGTTTCAGACTATGACTCTAGTTATAAGATTACTGGCTATGAGGTATTATTTGTACTATAGGAGTTCACTCCAGTTTCTCTTCATTGCACATGTGTGAAACAGCTGATTTTAAGTTACTGCTTTGTCCTTGGTCTGCCAAGACACTGGTACCAGAAGTAACAGTGATTACAAGCCCAGGTTTCCTAAAGAATGCAACACAAATGTCCAGAGCTTACACAGTTTTAAGTTAGCATTTCTCCTGCTAATATAAGTTAAGCATTCTTCTTGTAAGCATTTTTCACATGGATTTTTTTGTCTTGTAATTTTTTTTTTGTTTTAGTTCTCTGATTCTAAATAAGTGATAGAAGGATTTTCAGTTAGGAAACAAATTTGACTAATATAGTTTCTTTTTATCTTGACACATATGAACCCCTCATAGCTCAAAAGAGAGAAGCTGAGCAGACAGACCTTTGAATCTGTATTCAGAAAGAATCCCAAGAACTGGGTTTCCATCTTTTCCTAGACTGGGAAGGAGGAGAGGGGAATCTGGAAGGTTGGCTACTGTTGATCATAACTTCCTGTTTGATAGCTTCATCTACCTTAGTTTATACCTTAAGTCTCTCCTTCTTCAGTTCTTTTGCTACAGCTTCTATCCTGTATATGTCACTATCCAGCTTTCTCTAGAGCATGCTCCATGTAACTCAATCTAAAGCTGCCTCCTCTTCACACATTTTTAAAAATGGCCAACAAAACTCTGTTCCGTTCACATGCCCATTTCTTTCCTCATCCACCACCCTTCCTGACCCATGCAGCACTTCAGAACCACAGTCAGTGTGGCCAAGAACTTGGGTTCTGATCACTCCCTTCCGCTCTTCTATGGCACCAGTGAGCATTAGCCGTAGGTAACACTTAGATAACCCTTAAAATAACTTACACACTTCTCCTGTTACTTGATTTATTGTAACCTCCCTTCACACAGTTTTCTAATTTTTCTCCTAATACTTATAATTACTTTGTCCTTTATCCTGTGATCCATCTAGCTTTTATATGGCACACTGGTTTTAGAGAATGATATCATATTTGGGTGAACCTCTCCATCCTCATAAACAGATTTTGGGTTCTAATTTCTATCCAGTTACCTTTTTCTAACAACTGTAAAAGGCAGTCCTGTGAGCTTCACACTTGGGGTGACCCAGACTGCATCATTCCCATTTACTACATCTGATACAGTTATTTTGAAAAACTCTATGCTCCAGGATGAAAACATTAATAGTAAAGTGTTAAAGAAGTGTTTGTAGGCTGAGGAACCTGCCTCTCTAATCCAGAGAGACATCAGCACACTTCACTTGGGCTAGTTCTTCATGCTTCAGTGAATCTTGCTGTAGGATTGGGTAAAAGCCAGACTCTCATTAAAAATAGATTATATTCTCTGTGAATTGGGTTGCACTGCATTAAAAATAAAAGACTCTGTGTTCACATGCTGCTTCACTATAGACCTTTGTAAACTTTAGTTTGTTTTAGCTAATGTAACTACTGAAGCAGACACTCTAAATAGATCTGACCCTGAAATGGAGTTCTGATTCACATCCAAAGCTGATTAAAGATTGGAAGTTTTTCTCACCACAGATTTATTTTGAGATAGGACAAGTTGCAATTTAATGTAAACTTTCCCACCATTCACAGCCCTAGCATTTTGGTGTGAATCTAACGTAACTGAGTCTTTTCAAATGCTTGATATTTCTTTTTAGGTGATAAATAAACAATGCTTTAGAGGTGGAAAATATTTGTCTGAATAGAAAATGCAAACAATGGACGGTCTTTATGGTTATGGAGAGTGAGATAAACAGTACATATGTTGATTGTAAAGGCTTTTTCAATTGTCATTTATTTTCATAGACCCAACTCATTTGTGATCATCACTGCTAATCGTGTTCTTCACTGTAATGCTGACACTCCTGAAGAGATGCATCACTGGATAACCCTGCTCCAGAGGTCAAAGGGGGACACTAGAGTGGAGGGACAAGAATTCATTGTGAGGGGTAAGAACTGAGTGGGGCAGTAAAGTAAATAACATCCATTATGCGTTGAAGAGATTGTCCCCACAATACAATCTGGTAATATGACAGCATGGCAGAGTTGGAGCCACGTCTTTGTACGGTGGAGTTTACTCACAAATCAATACAGCTGAAATTATATTTCTGTTGTGCCATATAAGAAAACACTGTAAAGATGACAAAAGTGTTTTTGTAAGTTGATGGTAGAATTTTTCTAGTGAAATATCAAAATTGAAATGGAAATTGATTTTATTATGTCTTTATTATTTAATTGTTTGAGAATTGTACTCAAAGTTGTTTAATATGGGAGCTTATCAATTTACATATGCTTTTATTGTTTCTTGAAGTATACGACTAACTTCTGTATACAACCTAGTTTTGTCCAACTCACTCTGTTCAAGAAAAAAAAGAGTGATTCAAATTGTGTCTTGAACAGGATGGCTACACAAGGAAGTAAAGAACAACCCAAAGATGTCTTCCCTAAAACTGAAGAAGCGTTGGTTTGTTTTGACGCACAATTCTTTGGACTACTACAAGAGTTCGGAGAAAAATGCTTTGAAATTGGGTACATTGGTCCTGAACAGCCTCTGCTCAGTGGTCCCACCTGATGAAAAGATCTTCAAAGAAACAGGTATTTGTTTGCTCTTGTTCAAATATGCCTTCAGTTGCCTACTGTCCTTCTAGCTAGTAATGCAACAGACAATGCATAAGAATACTTTAAATGGATTATTAAGGGTTCAGTTCAATGAACAAATCATGTTCCTAAGTTACTGAAGTGTTTTACAGGGACTTACTGGGTGAAAAACAGAGGTAGTGTATACAGGAGTAAAATTTGTTCTCACCTGCATTCCAATTATCTTAGACTAATACTGCTGCTAAGTTAGTGTTCGTACTTACACATGAAAGACTTGGGGAAAAACACAAGGGTAACACTCTCCTCATACATTATTTTATGTGCTGAGGAACTGTGAAGGCTAACATTGGTAGAGCAGGTATAGGGAGAACCAGAATAAGAGTCCAGTTTGTGGCAACCTACATACTACACCTGAGTCAGCTCCACTGTGCATTTTCTAAACTGGTTTTCAACTCGGAAATGTCTGTTTGCAAATGAGAAGTGACTGTTGACAGTCCTGTATAATCTCATTGGGGTCACTGACACTTCAAAGAGGCTTTCACTAGTGAAAGATGAAATACATTTCCTTTAATTTAATCTGCTTCATAAAAAGCCTATACAATGATGCAGAGAGAGAATTTGGCCTGAAATGCTCTTCCTGTCACAGTTGCCACTTCATTCGTGTAAAATTAGTTACTTCTTTACAGAAGAGATAGTTTGTGCATTATACCTGTTTGTATGTGTGCCACAGACAATTAAAGGCTCTCATGTACAAAGCAAGACTGTCTCAGGTTTTCCTGTTACAGACAGGACTGGAGAAGTAGGGCCACAAGCCACAGTGACTATTCCATAGTCACTTCTGTGGTGCTTGCAGTCACTTCTACTAAGATTACTGGATAAAATGGGAGGCTGCATGATGCGTAGTTGTACTCCGAGGTTACTCCCAGGATCTTCTAAAGGAGAGAATATCCTTTAATACTACAGTATCTGTATTATGATACTTAATGACTCATACAACTTATTAGCTCCTTGGAAAACTGCTGGCATGACCCAGGATGCAGCACTCAGAGTCTGATGGGACGCAGCTTTTATGATTAATAATTTCACTGTTGTGCCAGGTTACTGGAATGTAACTGTGTATGGACGCAAACACTGTTACCGTCTCTATACAAAGTTGCTTAATGAGGCGACCCGCTGGTCAAGTGCCATCCAGAACGTGATTGACACAAAAGCGCCAATTGATACTCCAACGCAGCAACTTATTCAGGATATTAAGGTAGGCACAAGCAAGATGGGGAGGGGTGAGAAAGAATGGCTGCTTAAACCTCTTTTAATTTGGCTTAGCCAAAATAAAGTAGAAAATTAAGTTTTAATCACACAGTGCCACGGACTGACTTTGTGAAACCTGAATGTATTCACTGACCTGATAAAGGAATTTCTATCTAAGAAGTAGAAGAGCAAAGTATGAAGTGCAGCTTGGAGGGCAAGAGGGATAACCCTTTTCCATGAAAACACTAACAACTTTTACTGGTTTGTGTAACTTGACAGACGTGACTACACCTGGCAGTAGAGCACAGTGTACAGGTCCATGGGTTAGCAGACATGTTTGGCTATGTCCACAGTGAGCAGCACACCAGGATGGGGACTAGACAGCTCTTCGATGTTTTTGTCATTGTACTTCTTTTCTTGTTCTACGATAACATGGGCTAAGCATCTCATGTTATTTGTGTGATAAGAAATATATTCAATTAATGTTTACTGATTTATGGTACCATTGGAGACAGTACATGCATAGCCAGGGAATGTCCTTCTGGAGCTTTTTGCTTATCTGCTTTTATGAGAGAGGATGATACTTCTCAGAAGAGAGCAAAAGAATAGGCAAGAGGGGAGAACTGCTATTGACCTTTTCCCTTAGAGAGTGCCACCTCTTCTCTCATGGAAAAGAAGTATTAAGTCCTCAATTCCAAGTCTATGAATGCTGTTCTTCAGAGCAGGAGAAATATGTGGAAGTTCAGGACTGGTAGAAGACAGTGGTCACATCTATCAAACTTTGCCTAAGCAGAACAGTAAGAGCAGTATTTATATGTCAGAGCGGGTGCATCAGGTTTACAGCAGCACTGTGTCTGGGCTATTTTGTTATGGTTGCTCCTGCAGTTATTAAAGGACAGTTAGTTTCAAAAAGGCCAATTAGTTGTGCTGGAGAAATATTTTTACATAAAACTTGACTGTCATAATTTCCGTTATGAAATACTGGAGTAAAAATGAATGTGAACTGAAAACACGCTTCAAAAAATGTTATGAACCTTCATTTTTGTGTCCTGCGGCTCTGCGGTAGTTTTCTTTTTACTGCACAGATAAAGGAAGTTTATCCAAGGCCTGAGGTTAGCAGGTACTGAGCATTCATAGCCCACAACGTGCCACAGCACCCACAGTACCCACAACCAGATTTAGCACCAAACAGGGTTGGTAACATTAATGACTCAGGTTTTTTCACAACCAGCCTAAGGGCACAAAGCATTCCGTTATTCCTAATGCTGGACCCCAAACTCTGCTTTTTTCATACCCCAATAGGAAAACTGCCTGAATGCTGATGTGGTTGAACAGATTTATAAGAGGAACCCTATTCTCCGTTACACTCATCATCCGCTGCACTCACCATTACTGCCACTGCCATATGGGGACATCAATCTAAACTGTAAGTTTTTCAATAATAGAAACACTTTTCCTTATGAAAGACTAAACTAGAGGATGGGATTTTTAAGTCAGTGAGCTACAGTGAAGTAAAGGTAGGCAAAATATATGTTTATAATACAAATAGACAAGATTTCCTGTTCTGAGAATAGCAGTTTGCCTAGCATAGAGCCTTGGGGTCATATTACAGAAGGGAAGGTTGCTACTGCCTTCAGAAACACAGCTAAGAAGACTGAGTTTGAAAAGCCTTGCCCTGAAATAAGCAACTAAACCCTATTCATTCAGTCTCCTTGAATCATATTCTCCTTCTCAAGTCATTGTTACTTCCTATCCCATGTGCGGAGCTGCAGCAGCCACAAGGTTCAATTAACAAGTGTAAGTGTCATCAGATGTGATGGAAAGCCCTATTTTTGGGAATCAACATCTAAGTGTACATGTATAAAAGAATAAATGCTTTATTTACTCCTGAAATGAGTGTACTCATGTCTTTTAATATCCTTGATTCAACCACTAACTTACAAGTCTTTTTTAGCATGAATGGTTCAGATCTATTGATAGTTGTGAACTTGGTGTCCTTAAATGGATTTAGTTATCTTAGTTTGCAACTGCATATTAAACAAGATACGACTCAGGCCACAAGTTTCATCCATGGGAGGTCACAGATGACTAAAAGTTAAGGTATTTCAAGTAAGACTTTCTGGTAACTCTAGTGATACCCTTCTACTCAAATGACGAGGAAAATCCTAGGACAAACCTTTCACTTCTCCTGCCCCTCCTACTGTTCAGTGGCAAGCCACAGTTCTGTTCTTGGCACTTGAGCAGGTTGTCCAGTGTGGAAGTGAAACATGTTTGTTCTCTATTCCCCATGGATAGGAACAGATAGCCCCCTCTGAGGCAGAAGTCTTGCCAAAGTCTTCCCTTACTAAATGTAGCTCCAAAAATGGACTGATGCTTAGCTATTGCCTTGACTTGCAGTTGAGTTCTAGGTATTTTCTGTAATAGTATAATGTCAGGTTAGAAACTTCACTTTCATAACATACATCTGTACTGTATCAGAGCAATCTCTTCTGTCTGACAAACCCAAGAACTCCGTGTTTCTTTTAAGGAGATTTTAATAGTTGTTAGCCCACGCTGAATAACATGTAGCACAAAAACAATCACCACCTTTTTCAGCGTTCAAAAAGCAAAATGCAGTGATTTTGTTTAGTAGCATTGTTTGGGTTTAATTAAAATGCTACTGCTGTAGACAAAAATGATGCCATGTATCTTTGTCACTTTCCGTAACACAGTTATGCTTTACCTCATTTGTGATCTGATCAGGTTTTCACTGTCTTGTGACACCAAAGAAGTGATACAACACATCATCATTGTGTGTTACTCTAGAAGGAAGACTCTCCATCACAAAAACTGATCAATCAAGATACACTTTTTTAGTTATGTTGTCAGAAAATGACAAAATGGGATTTCAGTAAATTCAGAACAAATCTCAGTAGCAAAATAGCTCATACAATGAGTTTGCATCATACATCTGAAATGAAAAATACCTGTTCTAATATCCTGCATCATAAGGGTCACAGAATACCATTCAGCAATTCCCAAATTAAGCCTTTGTGCTTTTTCTTTCATATCTCAGTCTAAGAACCTTTCTCCCTTATTTTTCTTTTGTAGTACTGAAAGACAAAGGCTACACAACTCTGCAGGATGAAGCCATCAAGATATTTAATTCTTTACAGCAGCTGGAGTCTATGTCTGATCCCATCCCTATAATCCAAGGTATCCTCCAAACAGGACATGATTTACGACCTCTCCGGGATGAGCTCTACTGTCAGCTCATCAAACAAACCAATAAAGTGCCTAACCCTGGGAGCGTGGGGAACCTGTATAGTTGGCAAATACTCACCTGCATGAGCTGCACATTTCTGCCAAGTCGCAGCATCCTCAAATATCTCAAGTTTCATCTCAAAAGGTGAGAAAAGCTTTGAAGTACTAAAGCAAGAAATGAAGTTTCTTCACTCATTGTTTTCTTCACCATGACTTATAACAGTGTTTGGATATCTTGAAGCGAGACTTGAAGATGAATTTACTTAGTGTATTGGTTATGCCAAACAGTGAGTCTAAAAAGGAAATGTTATAGGAAAAGTGTCTATGAGTTATCTAGATGGAGTTACACTCATTTGAAGGATCAAAAACCCACAAAATTGAATGCACGATTTGTTAATGTTGATAAAAGGAAGGCTTTCTGTAACTGTATAAACTTGTTTAAAAGATTTGCAGCCCGTACCCCTAGGTCCAAAATCAACCTGTTAAAAATTCTTCATCCTGCTTACCTTAATTTTATAAGGTATGCATCATGCACATAAAAGAACATTATCATATTTAAAGATGTATTTGAGGTAAAAACATATGACTGCAAATCTAATTTTAAATTATTAGTGACCATGAAAAAGATAATAAATCATTCTTGATAGTTCAGTATTAACTAGAATGGGGAGTTCTTCTTGCTGTGATGGAACAGAAGAATGCAGAGTATGTAATTAGGAAAGTTAGTTCGCCAAGAAACTGTTCTCAATAATTTAAAAGTCTTGTCTGTATTTGTGCTAGAGCATCAACTTTGTCAATCACTTTGCTAAATATAATTGTGCTGTAATATTTGTAAAGTAATTGTAATGAAAATACATCTTTGAACCAAATTGAGGTAAGTAAAAAATGGTCTTTATATAATTGTTAAAATGAAAAAAATTAAACATTGCATCACTTTCTCAGCTTAACTCGCCTCCTAGTTAAAAGAAAATGCAGCTGATACATTTATAGGTTGGTTTCAATACTGTAGATGCATAATCATCTTACAGCATTTCTGCAGTTCTGCAGTAATCTTTTTATGCCTTGCAGATCACAAATCACTGTACTTTTTCACATAAATTAAATGTGAGTAGCTCTAAGGAGCTGATATTTTATCACTGGAAATATTATAGAAACATTCTATACTGAAAGCTACCCAAATTCAACAATTTTCAATAATTAAGGGTTGAGTTCATTAAAGTAGATAATGAATACTCATAATACTAACTGCTGAACAGTCAGGTCAAGAGAAAATCTTAAAGAAAATCAGGAATAGAAATCTAGTGACACTACAACAAAAGTGATCAGTCAAACATGTTTTATTGCTTTTTTCTGTAGTACCTTAGTGCAGTTTAGTCTTCATTCAACAACTGTTACTGACAGAAAGGGGGGTTGATTACAAGAAGATTTGCACAGTTATCTTGCTGTCAAATCTGAGTTGTTGTAAGATTCCTATAGTTAATGCCATGAAGGGAATTCAGGTTTTTCTTTCCATTAGGTTTGTAGAACAAAATGGTAAAAGTACCCCACAGTAAATCACAAGTTAGAAGACTTTCCTTGACAGTGAAGATAAACCTTGGAGCGTCTCAATTCAATAGTGTACTGGATACTGAAGTACTTTGAGGGGGAAAAATATTTCTCAAATAATTAAACTTCCTGTTTCACAGACTGGCAGCTTAAAGTCATAAGCTTTGTCTCACAGGGTTCGTGACCAGTTTCCAGGAACTGAAATGGAGAAATATGCACTTTTTACTTATGAATCTCTGAAGAAAACCAAAAGCAGAGAGTTTGTGCCATCACGGGATGAAATAGAAGCACTGATCAGCCGGCAGGAAATGACATCCACAGTTTACTGCCATGGTGGGGGCTCCTGTAAGATTACGATCAACTCACACACTACAGCTGGAGAGGTGAGAAGTGGTGACACAATGTCTTTGGAACAAAATGAGTGTGTCCCTTTACATGCCAGTTCAGGCAGCAGTAGCGTTAAGCTGTGGAGGCACCAGGGCCTTCTCTGCTGGCTTTTCCTTTCAGGGGAGGGAAGGCTTACAGAGCTGTCCCTCCAGCCACCCACTGTGTTCTGAAGAAATCCCTGCTGTAAAAACTGTCTTTATGCTGCAGAGGATTACCCAACTATAGTTCCTTCTTATAGGAAGAATTACAGGAAAGACTAAGTAATTCAGCAGAGGGATTATTGGAATAAATTCAGTAGATATTGGTGTGTATGAGTTGCTACCTAAAAATGTAAGGCTCTTGCTGAGTTGGTGAAATACAGGGGTTGGCCAGGAGATAGCACATGCATATTCTGAAGGAGTAAAAATTAAAGTGGAATTTGACAGCAATGAATAATGCTGATAAGAACAAGTTAGCAACATTTTTTGCCTAATATAAAACCTAGCTTTGAATTTTCTTCTAATTATTTGTCTTACTCTGTGGTGCTGCTTTTCCATGCTATGGTTTTCTCATGTGCTGTTTCTCATTAGGTGGTTGAAAAGTTAATTCGTGGCTTGGCCATGGAGGATAGCAGAAATATGTTTGCTTTGTTTGAATACAACGGAACTACTGATAAAGCAATTGAAAGCAGAACCATTGTAGCTGATGTCTTGGCAAAGTTTGAAAAGTGAGTGTGCCTCTCCTTCTCTCTCTCCACTCTAATAAGTAGCAATTAAATAAATTTCCAATGTCAATAATGCTGAATTTTCTCCTTTTGCTTGTTTGTGATGATGCATCTGAATTACACAGAGCCATTTTCCAGGGTTGGACTTGATGATCTCAGAGGTCCTTTCCAACCCATCTGATTCTATGATTCTATGATTTCTGGAACAAAAGCATCTTTTTTTCTTTTTTCTTAAAAGAATTAATAGCCACCTATTCACTTGTGTTGGTCTTCCTCTGTCCTGATACCAGTAAAGTAGTATTTCTCATCAATCAATATTTCCACATTTTCTTTTCCATTACTACGAATTTTCCCACCATCACTAGCATTGTGTCTTGGAGAACTGAACTCCAGGCAGTTATTGCCGTTCCAACTCTCTGTTGCATAACTTCATGTGGAAGTCACCACAGTAAACCTCACTACATTTTTCTTACCAGTAAAATTAAAACCACCCATAGAACTGTAGTAAGGAAATGTAATACAAGCCTAAATACCTGTTTGTCATCCTTATGTTGTATGCATGGCAATCAGCCTCTTTTATCCATATAAAAATGGGGGGAAAAAAGGAATGTTTTAAGTGTTGTGCAATTACATTTTATAACAGGACTTAATGATGTTGCTTTTATTAACACCTGACTGAGCCACAAGTCAAATTTTATTGAGAGAATTTGGGTTAGAAATAGTTGACTGAAAATTGAATGAGAACTGAGTCAACATTTGTAAGTCCTTGATTCTGCTGTAGGCTTTAAACACACAGACACACATAAAGGAAGATTCAGCTGATTCCTTGCTCAGATATCTCAGGTGTCAATTTTAAAAAGAGGTTGGTTTCACAGGTCTGATCTCTCTCTCTCTCTTTACACCATGCTGCAGGCTTGCTGCCACTGCTGAAGCTGGGGAGACGCACTGGAAGTTCTACTTCAAGCTCTACTGCTTCTTGGACACGGAAAACGTCCCCAAAGATAGCGTGGAATTTGCCTTTATGTTTGAGCAGGTAAAGGACAAGGGTTCAGTTTTGAGGCACTTTTAAGAGGAGATAAAAAAAAAGCAAAGCAAGAGATCTAGGCAGCACAGAGAGAGTTCTGATTATGCTTCTGTTCAACTAAATGCAGCACTACTCAAGCATCAAGAGCAAAGGAAGGAAGCAGTTCAGTGATCAAAATAGACTAATCCTGACATAAGTGAAGCACGTATGATTTTCCTAATGTTATGTTTCTTACTTCTGCATTACTTGTCAATTGCTTTACATGTAGTGGTAAAATAGCCCGATCTAAGCTGCATGGGAAAAAAAAAAAAAAAGGGGTAATACTTGCTTTTAATCTTCCTCTTATTAAACCATTTTCTGAAGAAAATGAAGTTAAAAAAAGTGTAATTGGCAAGCAATTAATTAATAAGAAACTCATGCTGGCAACCATACAAAACTAATTGATAATAGCTTTTTATCTTTTCAAAAACTGATAATTTCATAAGCACCTTAGGAAAATCAGTCCAGTCTCAGCAGTAAGTGAAAGATAGCTATGATGAGCAGAAATACTCTTAATAAATGTGCTGAGCTCAGAATGAAGCTATATTGCAAAATACAACGTAAGTTAAATGATTTATGATGAAAATTAAATGCATCAATAGTTGGCTTTCTATTCTATCAAGCCCTTTAATTTCTCAGAAACTCACTGATGGCATTTAGTACTGTTCACTGACCTTCTACTTTTCTACTATATTGCAAATGACTAAAAATTATTCCAGCAGTCAGCTTCTTTCAAGTGGGCACTAGATACAGATAAAGATTTCTATATAAGGTTAAGATTTCTGATTTCTGGCATTCATAATGCCAAGACAATAACATTCTGTTGGTGAGCATGCTTGATGTGATCAAGAACTGACATACTTCAGTTTTCATATATATGGAGGCTTTTCCCCTTCTACAGGTTCAGAAACTTCTTCATTGTAATAGAGTATTTCTTCCTTGTTCAGTTTACATTTTAAGGCATCCTATTACATCACAAGTCTACCAAAAGTCTCCTTCCAGAGCCTACTACTGTAGCTCAGTCCAGAACTGCTTTTTTGTCAGCTGAAGGATCTGGGCAATAGGTTGGCTTGGTTGGGCTTAGACAGACAGGTCATTCTGTCTGTCTGTTGTTACATATAGAGCAGTCAGCCAGCTAGTGCTTCTGTTTGGGATGAAGTTCAAAACAGCAAGAAGAAAATCCATGAGAGCTCTGCATCTGAGCTGTTACATTACATTAGTGGTTTGAGAGACAGATTCAGATAGTTTTGTGTGGGAATGGCTAAAGCAAGCACATTTATTGAAGCGCATTGTTTTCATGCAGTATTCTGTGCTGACTAGTGTTTAGCCAAATATTTTATGTCTTGTGAAAACTGGTAGTATTTCAGTTATAAAGCATGGCACATTCAATCCCTTCTATTAATACTACAGTAATATCTTGAAGACGTGACACTACATTCTAACATCAGTTCTGGGATTTTTTGTTTTATTCTAATTGTCTGCTTTTGGTGTCAGTCATAAACTTTTTTCAGACAATTATGAAAAATACCTTTTGTCATCGGTT